TGTTCTGTTCTATAAAATATATTCTCACAGCAGCGTGTTTCTTTCTAAAAGTTTACACAAATAGATAAAAAACAAAGATAACATCAGTTTTTGTCTTCTTTTTTATATATTTCTTACTATGAATTCAATAATTTTCGTTAACATTAATGGAATGGTATTTTCAGGCAAAACTCTCCTTTTTGTTCAAGTTATTGTAGTTTTATTGCCATTTTATGATTGCCAAATAGCACATTGAACATCTTCTTAGTTATGTCCTTTTGATAGTGTGCAGCGTATAATGTAGTACACTTGCAGCTCGTATCTTTTTTAATGAAGTTCTTAAGTAGCATTTGAAAATTTTCCTTTCAATTCAAACGTTGCATGTCCATTGCTTTTATGAAATTTACTTTCGCTATCATCATTAAGGTATTCGACTACTTTCAGAACCGTGATTTTAAACAAGCTCATAAATGGATAATTTTTATGATATTTAGTGTCACTTAGATTAGAATACATGTATAAAATGGTTTTATTAATGACATTTTGCCAGAAAAAATTATTTAAATACAATATTTCGGCAAAAAACTTACTTAGCATAACCTTTTTCTAAACTGTTTTCCTTTTGTGAAAAATGCTTTTATTATAATAATATTTTGCCTGTATATAGCTCAGACCTCTCTACAGAGGCTCAACTAGGGCTTTTAGAACATTCACACTATTTTTAGAATTACAACGAATTGAAATAATTATCGGCATTTTTTTCTTAAAATTTCTCCCCTCTGTTGTCGTAAGACATGGATAAACCCACTTCTAAGTTATATATTTCAAAAATTCTAGTTGAGCCTCTGTACAGAGATCTGAGCTATATACAGGCAAAATATTATTATAATAGAAGCATTTTTCACAAAAGGAGAAGGTTCATGTTTTGTCAAAATATTGTACTTAAATAATTTTTTTTATTGTAATACTATTCTTAAAACAATTTTATATGCATTTTCTAATCTAAGTGACGCTAAATATCATAAATAGTATCCATTTATACGCTTTTGCAAAATTTCGGTTCCGAACCTAGTCGGATACCTTAATATCCATTACTTCAACACAGGTTCTTTCCTTGTTTGATCAGTTTCAACTTAATTCAATAGAATCACTGATGCCCATTTCTATTTTTTTATATTCTTTTCATTTGCATTCATAATCCATAATGTGTCGTACAGTACAGCTATCGAAACTCCTGTTAACAGGAGAAAAATGTAGTATATTCACAGAAAATATTTTGGAGCAAAAGTGGTCGCTTTGGAACTTAGTCGCCAAAAGTACATTATGATTGTAAGTAAACGTTTGCTATTCCCAAAAAGAGGGAATATGTGACAAATACATTTTAGTTTCCATGAAGACTGTAATATAGGAAGATACTGGCAAGATCATTAATAACAAACAAATAGTGTTCCCAGAATTAAAGATTCCGTGAATCTGCACCCCGCGTGACCGCTCCCGGGTTATGAATTTTCTTATTTCATTACTCTATTCGAATCAATACCAAATGTCAACTTAAAGCAGAGACAGTACCGATATTCCTCTAAAAGTGAGAACTATAAATAAGTTTCTGAATAAAAATGAGCATGAACAGATTATGTCTCAAAATTCTTGTGTCTCCCATAAGCACTGACTGATCTTGGAGAACACAAGTCAAAGAACTCTACATTTCTTACAACAAACATGAACAATTAAAAATGTCTAAAGTTTAGAAGATTTGATGATTTTTTTTTGTATATTGACCTCATGAATAGATCCTAAGAATAATGCTAGAATATATTCGAATAAATCTAATTTTCAGGTTGAATTAAACCTTTATTGAGATAGTTTGTATATAAAGAATATAATAGTTTTAATATTAAAATTGATTTAACATATTAGAATAAAATTGTACAACTAGTTAGAATCCAAACAATGTGATCAGCTTCGGATAAAGATAGATAAAAACTTAAAATGAAGAGAGGAATTTCGACATCTTGAGTAGACACTAGAAATAAGGTACAGGATTTGTGAATGAAATTCCTTAATAGCTCTACTCACGAAAGATTATGTAAATATGTTTTAGCGGGAATGAGAAAGGGAGCGGAAAGTTTAAGGAGCCAAGAAAAGAACCGTTTGTAAAATGGTTAGTTAACGATGAGATGAATTGATGCTGTGAAAATGAAAGGACAATTAATGGTCTCCTAAATCATCCAAATGGTCTCTTAAGCAATTTTGTAATCAGCTTGTTATGAATTTAAAGGCTACAAAGAATTTTATTGTATTCTCTATTATATAGAATCATAATAGAATGCATTTTTGCTTCCACTAATTAATTTATAGTAATCTGAATTTTCCAAGGGTTACTTACGGTAAGAGATTTGATTATAAATCTTTAAAAAAGAATTATTTAATTCATAGAACAATTTCCTTTAAAAATTCAGAATTATTTTTAATTCAATTGATTTATATAGTAGAAGAAAATTGTTTTTTTAAAAATAATTTAGCTTATTAATTTTCTCCTTTAAGGCTACACGGTACCCTTTTTCAAAAATAAATTTTGGAGACAGTTACAGTAAAAATAATTGATGTTTTATATTTAGATTATATTATTAAGCTGATTCTGTAAGTGAAAAGTCAGTTTGACAAGATTTACATTATTTTACAATTTTAAAAAATTAGGAATTTCTGAAGTTTTTTCGAACTCTTATAAAATACTCAATTTTTAAATTTTTTTTGTCATTTTAAGTTATTTATATTTCTTAGGCTATTTTTAACAAAAGTTAGTATGGATTTGAAAATCTATGCATTTGTTGATTTTTAATTATTTTTCTCGTAAAACCTGGAAAAAACACGAACATTTTTAAAATATCAACTTAAGAATTTTTTTAGAAAAATAACTAGAAATCTCAGCTTTAAATCCATACTAACTTTTATAGAAAATACGTTTGGGAGAATATACAAAAAAATTCAAGGATTTATCTTGAACAGAAAAAAAAGCCTCAGGGATTAGGAAACACTGATATCAACAAAGTTGAAAGTCTGAGAAAAACGCATTTAAAATTTGTGAAGTCAAAAACACAAACTTATAATGCCCGTAAAGCTCTAATTTTTTAATGTTATTTTCCAATGTATATTCTGCATTAAAACACTATTTTAGTTAAATATGACAGAAAAATAATATTTTTAATTCAAAATATATTTTTACATAATATTGATAGCATTTGTTAAAATATCAGTTAATTCAGTTTTATCTTAACCTAATATTTTCACAAAAGTTTTGAAACACAAAGCATTTATGCACAAAGTAATAATGATACTAACTTAAGCTAAAAAGAGTGAAGCTTGCTCATTAAATTTAATTTTTTTTTTCAGTTTTAAATTGGGACAGTTTAGGAAGTCTTAGCTCTTGTACGACTTTAAAATACGAAAATATAGTTTACAATATGTTTAGTATAATGTAGTTTGATACATCAAGGAAATATTCAGTTATATCTGCAACATTTGAATTCACAATACTTGTATTCGAAAGTCTAATTGTAGAATCAGCTGAGGACTGATTTTTAGATATATCATTTTCAGTAATATTCCATATCTTCGAAATATTGTTTCTCACAGTACCTGAGAACGCATTTTCCATGGCATTTTCTCTACAGGAAAAAATTAATGATGAAGCTTTTAAGTTATATAACCTATTTTTAAAGCAAAAATTGGTCATGAAATTAATCTTAATTAATTAATTATGAGAACTCAAAACATAATCAATCAGAAATGATTTTAGTAATGGAAATTGGAATTAATAGCAATTTCAAACTAAAAGCTCAAAAATTATTTTAATTAAATTTAAGAGTAGAAAAATGCTTTAAAATGAAACCGAAACCAAAACCACAGCTCATAAAACTCCAAATATCTTAAAAACTAATTTGCTTACAGATCTGTAATTTCGTGGCGGCAAGCTTCTCAATCGTATGGACTACCATAAAATGCAAAAAAAAAAAAAAAATTCGGTTAAAATGAAATATTTAGGGTACTGTGTAGCCTTAAGTAAGTATTTATCATAACTAGTACTAAGTACATTTTCTTTAAAATTAAAATTATAAAAAAATCAAATTTTCTTCTTTTATTAGAGAGAAATGTTAAAAAAATAAGTAAAGAAATTGTAAAACACTTGTATGTACAGAAAAAAATAACTCAGATAATTATCCGGCATAAAATGTAAAGCAAATTGTTGTCTCTTGTTCTTTTAGCTTTATAAAGGTATTATTTATATTTATATTTTATTTTATAACAATGCTAATGTTTCCTATTTTAATTAAATTAATTATTGTTATCCATGAGTTGTGCAACAGCTTGTTGCAATACTGTCTGATATGTTTAAGAATATGTAATTAATTTATGGTTAATATGTTGCCTAAATCAGATCGATTAAATCAGATACTTTTCCATCTGTTTCCTTGTCATTTGAAAATGAATATCCTGGATTCGAAACCAATTTTCTAAAAGTAATGCTCAACTTTAAAATTTTCTATTCCATTCCTTTTCTAGAATATTTCTTCAAATACTATCTACTGAAGTTCTTATAAAATTTAAAATTAAGAATTTTGTTAAAGAAACCGTTAGAGAAAAAGAGAGAAATAAAATGGAAAACCCACACAAAATGAAATTTACCTTACGGAAATTGTTACAATACAAAACTTTTCTCTTATTTGATACACTTTATTTAAGTGTAGCTCGCCAAATATTTAATTTCCGCAGGCATGACGTCACAAGAGTACGACGTCATGATTGTGATTCAGAAATTCGAGCTGAATCGATAATTTTTGTACGTGGTAAGTTTTAAACATTCAAGAATTTTCAATATTTTATAAACTGTTTTGTACATACATTATATGTATTTTTTAATTTTTCTTGTACATTTTTGTACGTTGGTGTTTTTTATTAATAGAACTATTATTGTATAGTTTTATTATTTTAAAATAACTATTCACTAAAACATTTGTCACCCAGCCAATATAGTCGATATAACCCTCGGTTTGTAACCGAGTGGGTTCGGGTTCGAATCCCGAGTAAGGCATGGTTGTATGTTCTTCGGGAAAAAGTCGGTCTTTCGTCTGTAATGCAGCGTTTCTCAAACTGTGGGGCGTGACCCAGTTGGGGGGCATGATAACTCTACGAGGGAGCGCGAGCATATTGAAAAGTCGAAAACAAAAAATTATTTAAAAAATTAATTTACTGAAAGCAAGCAAACAAAATAATTTCTGATGTAATAAAATATAAAATACACACACTGATATAATACACTTATAAATGTATCAGTACTGTACAATGTATTTTATTATTAATTGAACAATACTAAGTTAAAAACAAATTTGATAATTATCAGTCGTCCCATGGGTTTGTATTAACACTTATCTTGATAATTTGTACGGTTTATAATTACTTCCTTGTGCCGATTAAAAGTTACGCTATTCCCTCTCCCATGCCACCATTTTCCATGAAGATGAACGTATTTTGATGTTTCCTTAAGGGGAGGGGGAAAAGAGAAAAGAGAAAGGAATAAATAAGTAAATCCTTCACCAACACTGTCAAGTTCCTTTTATCACACATTCCAAAGCCTCCGGAATAATTTTATGGATAGCTCAGCACAGAAAAGATGGTACTTCGGAAATACGTATATATACGTCCAGAAAATTAATGCTTTGTCTGAGGGAGACATTCATATACGTCGGTGGCACATATGAGGTTAAAGTCGTATTGCAGCTTTAGTGTCAAAGTATAGTATTATTGAATTCAATACATTGTTATTGCATGTAGGGGGGCGCGATGAAAATGATGATTGAATATTGGGTTATGTTTATTGAATGTTTGAGAAGCACTGCTGTAATGGATTCTCGTCTCGAAAAGGAAGCAGCACACCTCTTCTGTTATATGCTGAGATCATCATTTGTAATAAATGTCTATATTCTTTTGTTTGTGTATTGTACGTTTCTATTTTTCCACTAGTATTTCATATGTATCCCAGAATAAAAGCACACAAAAGCAACTAAAACATTTATATTCAGTGAAAATCACTTAACAAGAAACTGAAGGGACTGAATTTTGTTTTCATGTTAATGGATATTGAAAAAAAAACATATACCAACAAAGAAAAGTCTAAATTTTCGGGGTCTTGATGTCAAGCTGATAAATAAAGAGGGGTCGCGTCCAACGAAAGTTTAAGAGCCGCTGCTTTATAGACATAAAAACGTAGTTTCTCATATTTTGCAAGGGTTATACTATGAATATGAAAACACATTTTATCGTAAACAATATTTTCAATGCAAGTTCACTTTTTACTGAACTAGAAAGGAATTTTTCATAAAACTTATATATTTATATTCCATTTTTGATATGCTTATTTATATTCATACATCCTTGATTCATAAGCAAACAAGTTCTACTTTTCCTTGCTATGTTAGTATATCTAAATTACAAGAAGAAAATGGAAATCTAGAATAGAATAGTTAAAGTCTCAGTGATAAAAAATTCAAATTTATAAGGTTATGTAATACTAAAAAGTAGGGAAAATTTTCACGCATAAAATAAACCAGATACAGAAATGTTTTTGATTTCTTTTACATTTTTCGACAAAGTTGAAAAGAATCTCAAATAAAAGTATCTAAATATTTTTCATTTTATACTTTTTATTATATATTCACAACTATTTTTTATTCGAATCTTCCTTATAACGAATTTTTTTCTTACTTTACTCTCGGCTACTATCATTTTTAAAGATGAAACTTCTTTTGATTCTATTCAGAATTCATGTTTAAATTCGAAATTAAAAAACACACACAGACACGTTTAGAAATTTTAAAGAAAATCCATCAATTTTTTTTTTTAAATTTTAATGGGACTTTAAAGTTAAAAGATTCAGATCAGATCTCAATGATTTAATGATAAATCATGATTGCAGGTGCCTTACGTGAATGCGTTTCTGCGTAAGGTTTCAAGAGCGCGTGTCCAGAAAGGTATTACAACATCGTGACCCACAAGTTTGCTTAATTCCTGAGTAGCGAAAGCAATCACACAGATTTATTATCGAAAAAAGAAGAAAAACCAGCGTGCTTTAGACCACACGACTGAAATAAAAATTCTTTAGCTCCATCTATATGTATGTATGTATATATATAGGCTTATTCTCTACAAACAAGAGATAACATCCAACAGAAACATGTATATATTATACATAAATACATATGTAAATATATATGTATTTATGTATAATATATACATATATTAATTTTCTACAAATATTTAAATTTATTATGGGTTTTGTTCAATAAATTAATATTGCTGAATAGATTTTTTATTTTTATTCATTATTTTCATTATCGGATACATCAGTAATTACTGTGGTTGGTTGTAAGACTGAGACAATAGGGTTTTGGTATGAGAAATAAGATATACATAAGTTTTGGAATATGAAAATTAGAAAGATATCTAGAGAAAACTGCAACGATTGTTGTTCCATGTCTTGTGGTAGGCTCATTTCGGTTATTGTTATTATTCCTTTTATTTATCTCGTAGAAAGTTTACCAAGAGTTGACCATCTTCGGATACGAAATTAATATTGAAATCTCCTGCTAAATTAAATGGCAACGTATTATAGTTTTCTCCTAATTCTTCAGAGCCTACTCGACCGTAAATCATAAGTCTTATATAAAAACTTTATAATATTATTAACTGTGTTATTGGGCGAAATGTAAACAACTACCATTATGGTGTTTGTTCCATCGTCCAAAACACAGTGGGCATGACATATATCACCAGTTGATGATTGACCAATATCGATTTCACGAATATATCGTAATAAAATGCCCATGTTCGAAGTTACTATGTTCGAGGCATCATTTGATTTCTGATAAATTTCCACTCCTACTGATTAACATTTTTACTCTTAAATTTATCAATACAATTAAAATTCGGGATGTCAACATTACCATCGTCATTTGATCAGGTTTCTGATAGAAACAAAATATTGCTTGAATCAATTACGGATCGCTGAAGTACGTAACTCTCTCTCTCTCTTTCTATCTTCATTAACTTATACCTACCTCTCAACTTCCGTTTGCCTCACCCAATCACACTATTCGTAACGCTCTCTTCCCGTATTCACCAGCTTACTCCTCAAGTCAAGCGTACATAAAGAAGTTTTACTTCAATATATATATATATATATATATATATATTATTTTCAAATAGATAATCCTGAATTTACACCCTGTATGTTATGTCTGTAAGCTATATCTTTGAAGTTCAGTCACCATAAAATGGTCATCATCGACGGTTTGGGACGTTCTCAAGGGTATACAACTGAAATGTCAATCCATCGAAGTAGTCAAGCTAAAACTCTAGTGGGTCATCTCACAGAATCCAGTTACCCAAGCGTTCTTTCTCTGGGGAAAACATCCAGTTCGCTGATCTTCAGATGACCTACGGACCTGATCTTCAGTCAGCACCTACGGAATATACTACTGATGACGAAGACTTACTTATGTATGACGTGGAGGAGGAACTTCACCTAGATCTTAAGGATAAATTCGCACATAAAAAAATGTTTTATAAACAATCCTGACAATTATTTACTCA